TTAAAGGCTTCAGTGCCATGTCGGGTTGAACCCATTGCTAAACACCGTAGCCGCATGTTTCAGCTTTCATTGATTGATATGTAGGGTGTAATGTCCCAAAACCATCATATTGCCACGGGGTCGTGACGTGGCCGAAGACAGGAGACTTTGTGTTGGAATTTAACTGTTTATTTGGGCGAACCTGTGCCCGGTAAATGGAAAGTCCCGATTATAGTAGCAGTCTTGGACTGATAGCGGCGAACGGAGCGTCGGCCGTCAATCAACTATTCACAAGCGGCGAAGCGCGTCGGCATTTATACTCTCGCCGTCGAATGTTCTAGCGTTATCGCTGGTGGTGGCGTAGGTTCCAGAATAATCTGTACAGTTCGCAGAGTGGGCGTGATATTATCGAAATGATCTACTACAGTCCCGAAGCTTCGAGAAAACTGCAGGCGCGGTTTGCGCTGAGAATTTTTTGTGTGGTGTTTTGGGGCGATAACGAAGCTTGAGAAATGGGACGTGGCAATATTATTATGAGAGGCGCTGTAGTGGAGGACTCCATAAATTTCGACCACCTGGGTAACGTGCACCCAAGTCGAGCATAGAGCATTTTTGCCTCCATCGAAAATGCAGCTGTCACAGCCGTGATTTGATCCCGCCCCGCGACCTGCAGGTGAGCAGCCAACAGACAATGATGAAGTTGTTCTTAGCACAATAGTAAAAATCATGTGATACATACGCTACATAGCATTTCAGTTGCATATTTTTCATAGTTTCTTTTTCTTTATTTCGGTTGTCGACTAAAACGATGCAATGTGTAACATTGTAATGTGATGTACCCACTCCTGCCATTGCTCTCAAAAGGCAGCCGGCAGTATCTGATAAATAAAAAAATAAATAAATATGAATACCACCGTAATAAAAATGTAATGAATAAATTTAACAAGTATATAGAAACTGCGGAATACAACTGAAAGACTCTTATATAACATAGAAAGAAAGTGTTATAACAGAAGCATACCATAAAAAGTTGCTTGGATTTTTTTTTATGTTGATAATCTGCCACAAGAATAGGTCTAGCATTTTAGTGTTAGAACGTCATCATTTTGTTTGTTGAAACGGTTAATTAGGAAAGGCAGTGTGTGACAAAGGCGCTGTTTTTTATATTTAGTGTGGGCAAAAAGAATTTGCCATTAAGCCTGATGGGGGCGATATGATTATGTACTTTTGTTTTCTTGTAGGTAGGCAAAGCTAGAAATGAATCTAGCTTTCCTAGGATAGCATTCTTGTGGCTTTCTAGTGTTTTCAGTTCGCATATAGCACCAGATTTTAGTATTCAAAAGTGCCGAAAAAGTTCTTCCATATGTTCGGAGAAAGGAACATTTGCTATGGCGCAAATTGCTTTCTTTTGAAGCGTTTCCAGTCTCTGTATTTTTTTTGCGGTAGTGTTCCCCCTTATGAGTGAGTAATAACTGAGGTGTGAATGGAAAAGAGCATGATAAATGAGATGCTTAATTCTAAAGGCTAATACATTACGATAGCGATTTAAGACATCTTCGTTGAATAAACCAAGTTTCAGTCTGCGCTCGTTTGTCTCCTTCTTTGTATCCCATTAGCTTGTGCTAATGGGATACAAGACACTGACATTTTTTTATACTTTCAAACAAACACTGCCAACATGTTCATTCCAGGACATGTGCAAAGTGAATATAATGCCGAGTGTTTCCATAGAAGATGTAATAGTAATCGTATACGGAGCTGGGACAATGTTATCTGGTGCTATAGTAGAAATTCCTTGAGCATCGAAAATAACACATTTTGTTTTGGTTTCATTGAGAATGAAGCAGCTTGCCTTTGACCATTCTTGAATTTTGTGGCATACAGTAGTAGCTATAGGCATTAATTATTTTGTCTTTACCTGTAAAGAAAATGGAAGTCATCTGCATATGAGACAAATTTACATATTTCACTAATTTTTGCAATGTCATTGATGCAATAGAGAAACAATATCGGGCCAAGGATGCTCCCTTGTGGCACTCTCGCTGTTAGAGGTTTTAGTTGTGACTAGTTTTCAATAATTTCAACAAACTGACGCCTGTTTTCCAGGTAAGATTGGATGAGTTCAAGTGTTGCTCCTCGGAAGCCATACCTTTCTAGTTTCAGCAGCAACAATTGGTGGTTGATTCTATCGAATGCTTTGCTGAAGTCTAAGTATAAACCTAAACTAAAAGTTTTTTCTCAATGTTTTGTAGACTGAGGCAGTTTCAGTGGACCGCTTGTTTTTTTTTTCCGGAAACCGTGCTGACCCTCGGTTAGCAATTTGTTTCTAGTTTCAGCAGCAACAATTGGTGGTTGATTCTATCGAATGCTTTGCTGAAGTCTAAGTATAAACCTAAACTAAAAGTTTTTTCTCAATGTTTTGTAGACTGAGGCAGTTTCAGTGGACCGCTTGTTTTTTTTTTCCGGAAACCGTGCTGACCCTCGGTTAGCAATTTGTTTCTGTGAAAAATTTTGAATACGGTTGTTGGCAATCTTTTAGAGGCCCTTCGATTGTATAGGAAGTATAGAAACTGGTCTGCAGCTGCAGATATTGTTTTTACAACCATCTTTGTGAATTACCCACGCTACTTGCATGTGGCAGAGAAATACTCTAATATACAGGGACACATTGAGAAGGTGCGTTAAACCTGGAGCAAGGAGGTCTGTGGCATATTTGATTGGTCTGATTTCTAGATGGTCCACATCCCTGCTGTGGCTATTTTTCAGGGATAAAAATGTTGCAGTCACTTCTGAAGTATTAGTAGGCTTTAGAAATGGAGACTCCCTTGATGAAGTTACATGCAGTGTAGGTGGAATGCCGTGATCCACACATTCCACTTTTTCAAACAAGTCAATGAATACTTCTGTGCCATCTATAGGAGTACCATTGAGATTCAATGTATCTGTTCGTGTGGTGGCTGGCCTTCGATTAAGCATGTTGTTTATTTTTTCTTATACTTTGTTAATTCTGCACATGCAGTCATTGTTAAATACATGCCCAAAATAGTAATTTTTCGCCTTTTGTTCAATTTATTTCTAAAGGTACTTGTAATGGGAATTGAATGAAATAAAAAAACTTTATTTCAGTCCTGCAGGAACTTGTTCCAAAATTTGGAAGGAATGAGGAACGTTACAGTTTTAGAGGAACGTGTACAACACTGAAGGAGGGGCAGTGCAGGGTGCTGCTAGAAGTGCATGCCATGAGACGTGCAGCCCTTAGTACTGACTGTAGGTTGCGACTGCATAGACACAGTTGACTTCATCCATATACTATTTTGGGATTATGTCCAACCTATGAAGGATTGCTACATGTGTGATTTAGCAGAAAAAGCAAATGTGCGAAAGTTTATTAGTCGCTTACATCACGAGGAGCTTGCCTTGTGGAGTTGTTTCAGTTGCTGATTGTGATACGAACTGGGAGGCTGAGGTCGAACTTGTTTTGGCTGTTTGCAGATACTGAAATTTCATTGGTGGAATGCCCTCTCCTACAAAGCAAACAAACCTTGTGCTGCAGCTTTCTCCTGACATCCTATGCCTGGAATGACTTTGTGAACGTATCTAAAAGCCTTTCACATTCTTGAAACAGTGTAGTACTAATCATAATGAGTAGTCGCGGCAAACAAATGTGAGACTTGCAGGTTTTTTTTCCCCCCATGGCGTGTGCTACCAATCCAATTAAGTGTGCTATTTTGCTGTATCTCTCTCATTAAAGAGACACTAAAGAGCTGAAAAATTTTTTTCCGTGTTAGTAAACTACAATTTCACATTGCCCACAACACAACTCTTGGCACAAAGAGAAGATGCAGGTGGTGACGCCTCCTTGAGATTCCCACAATAAACATTGCTATATAAATTGTGAAGTTGTCTACTGGGTCCTACGTAGTTTCTAATCAATAAAAATATAGCACATTGTCATCTCTCGGTGCCATAAAGCTAGCATATGAAATCTCACAGAATTTCATACTGCCAACATAGAGAAAATGGGCAAGTAAACATATTGAAATATTTGACATCATGGTGGAGATTTCAGGGTGAAATTTAAAAATGAAACTTCGACCTTGAATTTCGCATCAAATGATGAATCTATGATGGTGAAACATGTGACATTAGGTATTCAAAGTGCAGTTGGTCATCCTAAGCCAAGCCGTCTGTTTCTCTTTAGTATCCCTTTGAGTAAGATGTCTGATGGGAGGGACTGCGTATCCATTGGTAGAAGTGTATTTTCTGAGGCTTGAACAAGTTTCGTGTGGTGGAGAACACGCATAGTTCCAATAAAAATACCAAGCCTGCGTCGGAAGGTGCAGCACAGTCACAGCTAAAGGGAGAAGAGCGGCCTTTCAAAACACTCATTGGGTAACTACTGCAAGCACATTTGCTTGATACCCATTAAGGCATTAATAATATATTTTTTGGGTTAGTGGGCTGTCATTCTTCTGAGACGCTTTTTATCTGCTAAACGCTTGCAAGGAATGTTTCGCTAATTGTTCATGCAGTGGCACACAATGATGAGGAAGCATGGCTTAAGTGGGTATGCACCACAGTTAATAGGGGAAGAAGAACAAGCTTTGGTAATGGGTTGGAGCTCTGGACGACCCACTCATTACGCTATTCAGATTGTGCAACCACTGGTTGTTATTTGACTGTTTTAAAATGCTTTATAAGTTGTATTAACGCGATTGCTTTTCCGACATCAAGCCTGCCTAAGGCAAGTTTGCCAACAAGTCACAAGCACCGGTGTTTCTCAGTGGTAGAATACTGGGCTGGCAACCAGAGATTTGGGTTCAAGCCCCACTACGTCATTGGTGCTCGGTTCGTTTTCTAATTTCCCGCTATGTGGTTACGGGCACCGACGGCGGGCAACTGCTTGTGACTAGAGCTGTGATCTCATTAGAGCTTTCGCTGTAATTAGTTTTGCATAACAATTTTCGGGGTATGATAACTGCTACTGATGTTTGCTCTTTTTACTCAATTGATCCTTGCAGAGGAGCATCACAAATAGGTGTCTTGGCGAGGGACCTCCTAGGAAAAAGCATCGGACGCCAATCACATGGCCATGACTGGTGTTGAATGGCAAGCCAGGCTACATCATTAGTGTCATAAGTATGCACAGGGTTCCTCTCCTTCATGAAAGGGGGGGGGGGGGGCAAAGGTTTGTCTGTCGCAGCACCACCCCCCCTCGCTATCATGTCAATGTGTGGCTGACAGCGCTGCACCTCTTGGTCCCCTGTGCCTATGGCCATTGTCTTGCTTGTGCCTTTTGGTTTCCATGGCAAAGAGGCACACCATTTCACAAAATGCACATCTAGCTGAGCCACCAAAATGTTGTTCTGAGGTGGCTTTTGACAATGCACTTAAGGTCAAAAATTTGCATTTCATCTAAAATAAGCTGTTACTGCTTGTTATATAAAATGATGTCGACTGGGAAAATTTTTCTTCAATGAGACTGCTCTATTTAAGGAGAGGTCGCCATAAACAAGGCATTGCAATTCACATGAGATAAAACAGAGAGCAGTGCATTTTAGTTCATGTACTTAGCCAATGGACCGCCATGTAAAATTTTGCTTCAAGTGAGTATTTGAGCAACGATAGTCATACAAAAATTGCTCTTATTTTCACAATGTATTGTAAGACCATGGTGTAGGCTGACAATAAAAGTTTTTGCACATTCAGCTTGAATTTCCAGTCATCTTTTCGTCGGTCTCCATCTTTGCTGCTGAGTAATACAATGCTTAGCAGTAACTTGGCCCTTTTACAGCAATTAACCTTAGTAACACCTTACTCATTCATTAATGAGATCTGACAGACAATCATGTCAAGAAAAGTACAGGGTGTGTTACATGAGGTAATTGTAATGTAAATATGAAGAAAGGAAAGTGGACAAAAACATGGCTTGCCATGGTCAGAGATTGAACCTGCGACCTTTTAATAATGCGTCTGATGCTACACCAACTGAGCTACCACAGTGGCTGTCCCTCTATCCACTTTATTGGGTATATATGTGAATTAAACGTGGGAGCAATAATCAGCGCCACCTGTAGCCATGACGGCGAGTGTGGCACACACTTTTTCTGTCAGTTTTGGCATGACGCAGCATGTGATCTTATTACGAGCTGGCATTTGATCAACAATCCCTCGGATACTACCTGAAGGCACGAAGACTGCCGGATCGAGACCTTCGATACGAATGAAAGAAAGAAGCGTATGCCTAAGGGCTCGTTTTTTTTTTTTTTGTTAGACAAATTGTTAATGAGATATCAGAGTGCAGTGCCAAGTTATCATTTCATTCACATTTCTTTCTGCACATCTACATTAAAATTACCTCATATACCATCTTCTATACTTGACACGATTATCTGTTAAATCTCATTAATATTGTGTCTAACAAAGAGAACGAACCCGTACGTGTACACTTCTTTCCCTTACTCATTTAGGTGGCTAATTGTATCTGAGAAGAAAAAATAATAATTTGGGGTATTTTGTGCCATATGTCCTCAATTGTATCCAAAAAAAGTCTTGCTTATTTTATTTATTGAAATCGGTGAGCAGCTGGAACATTCTGCCAAGAAAAATATTGTCACGGGTATCCCAGGCACGCGCGCCAAAATGACACCGAATGGATGAAGATGACGATGTTGAGGGGACTGTGTCTGATCTGCCCTGTTGCCGTTTTTAAGGGGACACTAAATTCAAATAACAATTTAGGTTGGAATAAAAGCTTGTATGACAATGTCTAGAATGACAATATTATCAATAGCAGTGCGCTATTTACTGAGAAATAAATGTAAATGCTCAAGAACACATGCACCAGGGGTAGGACATTCGCAAAATCATCCCGATCAGATCAGGCTTGTTGCCTACTATTAATAACAAATAATCAAACTGGCTGCACTAAATATAGAACCTTTTGTACATCAGGAGACGTAATAAGATGCTGCTTGTAATTACCAACGACTTAATACTTGCCTTTAACAAGCACAACACGTGATGCCTAATGACTTGAAAAAGGCTATGATGTTTTTGTCAAGCACTTTGTCTTCTTGTGTATAATGTGGCGCTCTGAGTAAGACACACGGTAAGGGTGCTTATGAAGTGGACTGGCGTCGTCAGTGTCGATACAATGGGCTACGACACCAGTGCTGTCTAGGGAATGGTCATAGATATCAAAAATGTCGAGATAAGAAAATAGTACACCACGGAGCGCTTTAACTTGCGACGGCGGCAGGTGGTTTGATATCATTTTGTCCAGGAATGCTCTATTTTGCGCGGCTGCGACAGGTTCGGCTACAGTCTTGGCGTCGGAGGTGACAAGGTATACATTGCTCCAAACTGGAGAGCCCTGTTAAAGCAATACCTTGAGGAAGAACCTGGGTCGACGCAGAGAAGTTGAGGACGGGGAGATGTGTCCTGTTGTCGGCCATTCTCACTGCAGTATGACGAAGTGTGATGTTCTGGGACAAGGTCAGGTCTATGAGGGAAGCTGCCAGATAGTCGCCATCAGGAACAGGTGAGAACCGTAGCATAGGAACGTACATAGCGGCCTGAGGTGGTAATCGTACACACTCCGTGGACCGTAGCCATGTGCGAGTTGTAGGAGTGACGTCAGAGCACAAAGGCAACTTTAGCCGTAAAGTGCCGGTTGAACAATCTATGAGGGCTGAGTGCGTAATGAAGCGCCACAGCAGATAAGACCTGGTGGTTCTGCCACTTTAAATCGACGATGCGCTCAGCTGCCTGTATGGTGCCAAGTATTTCTCTTTGCTGGACTTTCAATCTGGATATTAGCAAATTTCAGTTGACGACCAGGAGGAGACAGCATTCATCACACCCGACAGCCTTTATCCATTTAAAGTCACGCCTTTTGTGTTGTGCAATGCGCCTGCATCTTTTGAACACATGATGGATTCTCTCCTTCGCAGCTTTAAATGGGCGACGTGCCTGTGCCATCTAGATGATATTGTTTTCTCGCCACCATTTGAAAGCCATCTTCCACATCTGTCTGCCATTCTTGATGTTTTTCGCTGTACTGGCCTCGAGCTTAACACATCGAAGTGCGCCTTTGGATGCCGTCAGATCAAACTACTTGGCCACCTTGTTGATTCTACGGTTGTACAACCAGACCTTGACAAAATCCGCACAGTACGCGAGTCCCAGTGCCACGTTCGAAACAGAAAAATCACCCCTCACACAGTGGCGTAACTAATTAAGACGGTGCCCTCGGCAAATACATTTCCGTGCCCCTCATAATTTGTCATTATTAATATTAATAATATTGTTATTAATGGTTGAGTAAAAAGAGCAAGAGAGACATCTGGCTGTTTTGAGCAAGCGAATGGGTGATTTGTTGATTGCTTGTTCTCTACAGAGTACTAAAGTTGTCTTGCACATCCACTCATCACACCAAGAGTCCACAAAGTATGAAAAATATGTGACAAAAGAAATGAATCTTGTCAGCATAGAGTTTCCTAAAATTAACTAGAGGGGACTCTGGTGCTGCAATCATTCAGCGACCATGGGAGTGATGGGTAGTACACAGATTTGTCTAATCTTCGCACTTGTGGCTTCATTTATTACTGTTTTTCGGTTTTGTTTTGTAGGAAAAAATTAACCCTTTTGAACTTTGTGACCCGATTTGAAGAGGTAAGCCTAAAAGATCAAGGTGGTGAAGTGCAATCGCTGAACATTGACTAATTTCCGTTTCTTGACGGAATAACTCCAAGCCACACGAACACACATGGAGCCAGAAGTATGGAGATTAGGCGAACTTATCATTCTTGTATATCAAGAACGCAGGATCAGAGGGCGGAAGGGAAACTTTATTAAGCTGCTCGTAGTTACAAAGTTTCGAGCAGACTGGCCCGATGGAGGCGGGGTCCTCGAGGAGGAGGCCGTTACATCGCTCTCTGTTTACAATACATGGTGAGAGCAGCGTCCCGGGGAAAACATGACTATACATATCTTTGGTTCATGGCGACTGCAATAGTACATAATTCACAGCCGTGCAGAGGTGTAAACACGGAGAGGCCATGTAGTCTCTGACTTCACACTCTCGTTGTTTAACAAGCACACTTTGCTGTTGCCTGTAGGTTCTTTCGATTCACCTGCACCAATTGACTGGTTCATGGCTGTGCACGGCAAGTTCAGAAATTGTGCAGCGTGCATTGAGCAGTGCAGGTACAGTGCGACCCCCGAAACAAATGACGATGTGCCAACAAGGTGCAGACCTTATTTTTATTGGCTTAATTTACACCGTTCAGCTAACACTGAACGATGGCGAACCGCACATGCGGACAATTTATGAGGCACAAACATCTTGGCAAAATACACAGCGTTGGTAGAGGCAGATACGGCGCATACGCCCAAGTGCTGCGTCGTCTGCTCAGTTGCATGCACGGCTGCACCAAGCCGGCACCATCATCGTACGAGGTGCACAAAAATCGTGAACCAGTGCTGCACCTCTTCTGCACCTTTTGAAATGAATGACAAGATTCAGAGGTCATTGATGCTGCACCACTGAAACGAATGGCAAAGTGCAGCAACCCGTGAACTGGTTTCACGTGGTGCAGGCGAATCGAACGGACCTTGTATGTGTGCGGCTTTTTGTGTTCACGATTCCCATGCTGGCTGGAATGCCACGCGTTGCAGCTCCCATAGACACTTGCGCCAGAGTTCCCTATTGTGGATATATAGGAAACTTTATGCTTGTCGGTAACTTGTCGTCTCGCTTTACAAGAAATATGCATAGTAGATAAATTGCAACCACACGAAATAAAATGATGAGCTGGGAATGCAAACAGTTCTTATAGTTTTTGGCTATATCACCGTGAAATGTATTGCTCAAAATTATTTATTACGTACATCGAATCTGCATACTATGCCTACATATTTTACTGCATTTAAAAATTTATTCCAGCAAACCCTGTTGTCGCATATACAGGCTGTTCCAAGAAATGTGTCCAATATTCTTTAAAAATTACAGAAAGGAGGTATTTGCGTGCTACTTGCGGCGTTGCCTTCCTGTTGCAGAAGGCATCTTCAGATGGGTACAAAGATTACGTATTGCAGTAATTATAGAAATTTACACAATTGACTTTTTAACCAGTTGTAATTGCCAGTTGAGTCAAATGGGCGAATTCAAGCCCTTCCTGAAATAGTCCTTAGTATTATCGGTGTCAAATAAAACGCGAACAGATGCGTGCTTGTCAATGGTGATGACTATACCACTGCTAACACTTGACACTGTTCGTGTTTCATTTGACGCCGCTAGTATATCGTAAAAAACAGCATGAACACACGATACACTAAAGACTTTGCGTTGTTCACTCCTGTCGTCTTTCTTGTACCATGTGTGTTTGCTGTTTTTTACGATGAAGTCATTCCAACAAGCTAAAAGTTTTGACCCTTCTGTATATATCTGTATATATATCCTTCAGTTTTTTGCAATTTTCTCTCTGTCATATGCCAGCATAACAAGATCTCTCATCTTTCCTAGATGACAGTCAATCACACATAATCATTCTTGCAGAAATGGGGTTGAATCCTAACATTACAGACGACGAAATTTCACCTCCTGCGCATTAATACATTATATATAGACGTGACCGTCCTAATAAACGAGGCAGTGGCATCCTCTGAGAAATAAAGAAGGCACTGACGTCATACACAATCAACGCCAATTCCTATCTCGAAATCATTTGGGTGTCTTGTCTAATATCTTCCCCTAAGGTATTCATAGCCACCTGTTACCACCCACTTGATTCTGGTCAATCCTTTGTCAATGAACTGCGCACCAGCATTAACCCTTTCGGCCCTGGCGTCGTCAATTGATCCCACAAAGTAAAGCGTAACTCTCACTTGCAAAACCGAAACTGAAACCAATGAATTTTTTGTGGGGTGTTCCTCCGTGAGCCCTATTGCCACTGCTATCAGCAGCAGAGCGTTTTGTGCACGTTTACGCGAAGACGACGATGAAGTGCCCACGCGTCCTATCTGACAACGGCTCCATGGCTGAGCCAACGTTTCTAGACTAGGTAAGTTGCAAAACTCCCCGCGTCAGACTACTCGTCACACGGCGCCGTGACAGCTTTCGGTTTGGTGGCGCTGGCGGCGCAACAAGTTTCCGCTAGCAGACGAAAACGCGCTGTCGTCGTGGCAAGACGCCGTGGCGGCCGTTCTGCAAGAGCTTTGCCAACAGTATATTATCGAGATTTGTTGCGCTGCCGCAGAAACTTATTACTGCATAATATTAAGGGGTGTAAGACAAATACAGAATAATTATGGTTTTCTGAACTGCTCATAATAAACAATGCTTGATATATATATAGCATGGCATACGAGTTGTCGGTTAGTTGCTAGTTAGTGCACGTTCACAACAGATTTTTAGACGCAAAAAACCCAATTACAATGCCTGGCATCCTTTTTTGTGGCCGTGTTTTTCGGGCTTGAAAATAAATTACAACTATGTGGCGCAATCTCGTGGCTTTTGTCTGGTTATGTAGTCAGCTTTTTTTTTTTTTTTCATGTCAGTGACATTCTTTAGCAACTTAGACCGTCGAAAAGCTACGCGTGCTGCCATTTTCTTGAGTATGTCTTCCCTCTGCTTCTTATGGAGTTCCTCTAATGAAACCTTTTAACACAGCTGCAGCCAAAGCTTCGAGCAGAGACCACACTTTGGGGTATCGGTGAGCACTTCGTAGTCATTACTGACGAGTCTGCCTGTTGACGCATTGGGACAACATGAACACACTTGCAGCTTTTCTTTGTGTTCCAGAAGTTTGGCCCATAGGGTGATGGTATCTGCATTGCCAGGTGACTTGGCTAAGCGATTGTGACGGCTGCTAATGGTGACTGTCATGTCTTCTGCAACGAAAACGCATTTCTCCACAAATAGCGTTTTTTTTTCTTTGAGCCCTAGAAACACCACAAGACATCTTGTCTCGCCAGCATGCAAACAACCGTTTTTTATGTCTTTAAGTGAAATGACGCCACTAGTTGACGGCATGTCAAGACTTATTTCACTGTCTTCGAGCTCAGTGCTCGGAGATAGTCTATTCTTTTTCGCCGATGATATTCTGGAAAAGACCCCACTCCTATCGGGCAGCTTTCGCTTCTTCGTCGCAGGCCCCACAACAAAAGTAAGCGGGCAAGGTAAGCGGGCAAACTCGGGAATATTCGTGGAACGCATCCTTCGATGAGGTCCCACTTTCCTCTTGCGATTTGTACCTTCTTACCATATGACGTGAGTGAAAAGTCTTCAGGATGTCCTTCTCATGAAAGAGCATATTACACACACGTGAGGTGCTGGGCAGTTTCTTATCCGTACGAAGAATAGCGTGGTCCCATACCTCTCGCTGCTCAGGTACACGTGGGTACAAAAGAAATGTTGTGCTGTCTCTCATTTCCTGTAGCTACTCTACAGCCGAGAATGCAACATCTGGGCATGATGAAAACACGTAACACATACAAAGCAGAACATGGCGCACTGAAGCATAAAACTGTTCACGCAGAAAGAAGCCTCCACGGATAAAGACGCACTGCAACATGCAGAGCCAACGGAGGTTACGGGAGTGACATGAGCGAGCATGCAGTGAGTGAATCTGGATGCGACACCAGCGCCACATTTGTCGCTGGCAGCGGCGGCGCCGCGCAACATCGCTCAGTTTTGCAACTTACCTAGTTCTAGAAACATTGGGCTGAGCAGCATTCGGGTAAGTATCGACTTTCACGATGTATAACTTTTGAAGTCGCGAGTATTTGTAGCTGATATTTTTTTATATTTATGTCCTACTGTTAACGTAGGCAGCACGCGAAAAATTGTAGGCCTAACCTGCATACTTTTTCTGTAGTGGCCCTTTGTTTACATGTCCACGGTTGACGACATCAGGGCTTAGTGGTTGTAAGTCGTGCGTGTGTCGTTTTAGCCGTATTCTCTTTTATATTTTTTAGGTGCATCGATACCGGCGGCGTTATTTTATTCGTGCCATGGTAAACGGTCACGATGCTTGGAAGGATGCAGGGATAGTCTTTTTAAAGAACTGGACAACGGTAATTTATCTGACGTGGAAGGCGAGTGCGACGAGTCTGGCGGCAGCGATGACGAGAGGGACGACGCGCTTGGAGCCCCGGCGGAGAGCGAGAGTGATAGTTCCGAAGTTGATTCGGAAGATGTTAGCATACCAGCAACGGCAAGCGGATGGGCGAGAAAGCCTTTCAAGGTGCCAGAGACCCAATTCAAAGGGGGAGCCCACGAAGACTTTGACGTCGTAGGGGACATACCCTCACCATTTGGTTAATTTAGCCGTTATATCCCAAAAAGTGTCTTTACTGAGCTGGCTGAGAAAACAAATCAGTGCTCAGTTTTTTAGTATGGCACGTGTGTAAACACTGATGAAGATGAAATCAGCCGGATGGTGGCTCTCCATCTGATAATGGCCGTCCTGAAATATCCAAGGTTGCGCTTATATTGGAAGCGTGCAATGACAACTGCTCTTATCGTATAATGTGAGATCTCGCGCAACCGCTTCGAGAAGCTGCACAACACTCTTTACATTGTTGATGTGAACAAGCCCGACATCAACGACAGACTCTGGAAGGTGAGACCTCTACTCAAGAATTTTCAAGCAAAGTGCCACGATCTCGAGGTAGAGGAGCATCTGTGCATTGATGAGCAGATTGTTCCTTTCAAGGGCCGTTTGGACATAAAGCAATACGTGAAGGGCAAGCCTCACCCTTGGGGTGTGAAGGTATTCATGCTATGCGGCGAGTCTGGCCTTATTTACGATTTTCTGGTATACCAGGGCTCTTTTACAGAGCTGAATGAGAGTAAAAAACAGCAGTATGGTGTGACAGGAGCAATTGTTTCGCACCTGTTCGAGCGAATCCCGCTGTTTGTTGGCCACAAGCCTTTTTTTTTTGATAATTACTTTACTTCGTTGCCCATGCTGTGCGCCCTGCGTCAACGAGAAATAGTTGCAGCTGGTACTGTACGCATGAACAGGTGTGAAAAGTACCCACTCATGAGTGAAAATCAACTAAAGAAAAGTGGTCGAGGGTCATCTGACAGTTTGGTCAGCAAAGACTGCAAGATTGTTGTGACGCAGTGGCTGAACAAACGAGTCATAAATATGGCCTCGAATTTTGTCGGTGTTGAAAAGGAAGAAACAGCACAGCGCTGGAGCAAGGTGGACAAATGTTTCATTGATGTGAAACGCCCAGCTGTAGTCTGGGTGTACAACCGAAGCACGGGAGGTGTAGATAAGATGGACTTCCTTGTTGCCTTGTACAGGACCACAATTCGGTCAAGAAAGTGGACTCTCAGAATGATTTTTCATTTTTCAATCTTGCTGTTGTGAACTCTTGGTTAGAGTACAGACATGATGCCGACGTGCGAGGAGTCTCATCGAATGAACAGCTTGACCTCCTGGACTTCACCCTCAGAATCATTGATGCTCTTGCAAAGAAAAATAAGAAATGCAAGATAATGAAGCGTGGTAGGCCATCTTTGTCTCCACTAGAGCCCAGGAAGCAAGTTCGCTACACAGAGAATAGGCTTATAGAAGATGTGAGGTTTGACCAAATTGGACATTGGCCAATTCACACCGACGCTAAGGCGCAGCGGTGTAAAATGGAAGGATGCACAGGGAAAGTTCGAGTGTTTTGTGAAAAGTGCAAGGTGCATCTGTGCTTGACGAAGTCCAGGAATCGCTTCGAAGACTTTCACACAAAGAAATAATCAATTTTGTGCTTAGTTTTTGTTGTGAGAGCCGCATGAAATAAAGTGAACATTTTTTTCATTCCTACAACAACTGAGCCCTGATGTCCTTTTTTGAGCACATGAAGCCAAATCGGTAATTACTTCACACACAAGCTTTATATTTTGTGAGCATTTCATTTGAACCTTCAAAGTGAAAAAATGTAAGAGAAAAAAATCTATGATAAAAATAAAAATTCCAGGGCTGAAAGGGCCTAATAAGGCAACTGAGCTGTGTCTCACTGATAACATCTATATCATTGGAAACTTCAATTATTCTTTGATTAACTGGGTTCAGCTATCATCATCCTGTGAAATCTCCACAGACTTCTGCAACCTGACACTTGATTATAACCTGTTCCAAGTTGCTAACCAGCTGACCCGTGAAACTAACATGCTCGATTTAGTACTGACAACAGTGCCAGAAACAATAGCAGTAAAAACTGGCAGATCTCGCGTACAGTGGGAATCGATGATATGCGGAGCACGAATGAGGAAGGTTGATATGTCACTCTAAAATCAGCACAATGCTACAAGGTAGAGGTAAACGATGTCGTACATGATTAACGTGTCATGATTGGATGTGTCGTTTACCTTCGTCATCTATTCATGTCACGTGATACCAAACTTAGTATATGTGGAGCTATGAAATGGCCCCGAGCACACTATGAACGTGATATGTTGTCATTTTTTTAAATGACACGCTTGTCAGCATTATGTTTGCATCAGTCATATACTTTCGTCATCTATTGGCGTCACGTAACACCCAATTTCGTATATGTGGAGTTAGCAAAACAGCCGCAAACACATCATGAAGGGTCCAATATACTCAAATGTAGCATTGACGCGCGCACGCTGGGCACAGCGACGGTACGCTAGCAAAACGCAAGCACTCTATGGTCTGACCCCAGGCGCAACCGGTGCGACCAGCATTCGTCGGCGCGGCCCAAAGGCAACCGGCACGAAATGCGACATGGTGCATTTCGTGCTGATGCGTTAACCAGACAACATTGCGTCTTTCTCTTTTCGTGACGGAGGGACGCTGGACGTGCTGAAATACGCATGCGTCAAAGCAACGCAGCATGGTGCGCGCCTGCAAGATATGGCAAGATTGGCGCCTGGCGTGGTAACGCCGGCGAGCACGCGCACCGCGTCTGTCAAAATGTATTGGCGCCTTGACTGTAATATGTAGCCATGTTCTCACGTTACACGCACCTCATGATTATTATGTTTGCACCAGGCACATACCTTCGTCATCCATTGACGTCGCGTAATACAAAATTTGGCATATGTGAAGCTAGCAAAACGGCCGCGAGCGCATCATGAGTGTGGCATATAGTCATGTTGTTACATGACACACATGTCATGATTATCATATTTGGATGTGTCATTTACCTATGTTGTCTGTTCGCGTCGGGTATCACCGAGTTTGGTACATGTGCAGCTAGCAAAACGGCCGCGAGCGCATCATGAGCGTAGCATGTAGTCATGTTGTTAAATGACACGCATGTCATGTTTATCATATCTGCCCCAGTCAGCTACGACATCCAGTCACGTACCGTAATGCCGAATTTGGTATATGTGAAGTTAGCGAAATGGCCGCGAGCGCATCGTGAGTGTGGCATGTAGTCATGTTGTTACATGACACGTATGTCATGATTTTCATGTTAGGGTCGGTCGCTTGTGTTCGGCATACAATCATGTCATACCTTACCAGCTTTGCAACATGCCATGTGAACGAAACCACCGCAAGAGCTGCACACTCTGAAATGTAAATCATGACATTCATGACATACATGTCATGATTTACATGGTATGACTAGTCAAATATGTTCTTTATAATGTCATGGTATGCTATACGAAGTTTGATATCGATACCATATCGAAACGGCCAGGAGAGCTCAATGTCGTAGGCGGCTAGATAGATAGATACGCTCAAAGTCGCCGAAGTTCGCCAAGAAATGCTTCGCATTTAATAACACACTTGGAAGGCTTCAGCGATCAAATAACCTTAGATATTCCCTTTGCTTCAAATAACCTTAGATATTCCAATTCCATTTATGGGATATGTGACTAAGAAAATTTACGATTACAATAAAGCTAACTTCAGAACGATAAACACAGAGCTTGAAAATTTCTTTTTCGATACATACCATCGTTTGATGACCGATGCATTGAAGAAAACTTTCGAGACGAGGTGTCATGTTTGGTTCACCAATATGTCCCTCTAAAGAAAAATCCAACCCTTGGTATACTAGAAGACTTAAACAATTAAGAAACAAGAAAAAAAGGTTCATATCGGACTGCGAAGGGTGCGGCCACCTTTCCTGCATGGGATAAATACCATGTCTGTTTAAAAACTTACTGGACGACCTTATCCATTGCTAAAGATAAATATCCTGAGCATGATTTTGCAGTACTAATGAAAGGTAATCCTAAATAGTTTTGGAAGCAGATGTGCCCTGATCGAGACACTAGTTGGATTTCTTTACTGCGTAACACTAATTTTATACCAGACAATGAGTGCCCTGCAATATTTAACACTTCTCATTAGTATTTACTTCTGAGGAACATTCTACTTTCCCCGTAGTTTGTGAATGAAATAATAATTACACAACACCTATTGACACAGGAAGGTACAGCGAGCCTCATTAATAACTTAAAAGTTCCAACTTCAGAAGGTATTGATTGAATAAATTCTAAAATAATAAAAAATACCATTACCGTGTCTAATGAATTTCTGTGTTACATTTTTCAGCGGTCTCTAACTAATGAAATACTACCCTCCGATTGGAAAATTGCAGAAGTCGTACCGATATTTAATGGGAGATGCGGGTCGAAAAACGCGAGTTTTTTTCAAAATTACAGATTTTTTATTTTCGCCTGTTTTGGTAGGATTAGTACCTCTACTGTTATGAAAAAAATAATACAGGCCGAGACTTAACTGGAAATGCTTTAAAATTTCATCTAAAGAGCACAAGGTGCCTGTTAAAAGGTCGAAAGTGCGCAGCCTTCGAGCACCTTGCAGCAGTAATACACAGATGGAAATGAGGGAGTAAGGTGCGGGATTGGGCTAGTTTGCACTTTATTATTAAACTTCTCAGCGCAAAAACTTCCGACAACTAACACAACATGCAAGGACGAGCGGAGGCTTTCAACTAATTTATTACTACTACGACGCACATATATTGTCGCAGTGCAACGCGAACAAAAGATGACAGCAGCTTACGGCAGCGAAAAGAGCATATTCAGGATCAGCTGCACAGCAAGATGCCTGCTTCGTTGTCGTCCCGAAAAACCACCTGACCTACTAGCTGGAATCTACAAAACATTCCTATCATCGTTCTTTTTCATATAAACACGTGTCCCTTGCCCCTCCTTATAAGAGCATCGCCCTGATGCTGATTCAGACGCACAGTATTTTTTTTTAACGTGCAGTCAGTCACTCACATACGGCTTCATACGCACTACATGAACAAGTTCATGCTGGTGCTGGCGACGCCTCGGGCATTGGGGACTGTCGGAGACAACCTCGTAGGTGACATCACTTAGCTGGCGCGATACTCGGTATGGCCCGAAATATCGCCTTAGCAGCTTCTCGGACAGTCCATGTTTTCGTACGGGTGTCCAAACCCGCACTCTGTCACCGATTTTGTACGTTACAGTTCTATGGCGAGCATTGTAGCGGCCTGCGTCGTAGTCTTGTCGCTGGTGGATCCGTAAGCGGGCGAGCTGCCTAGCTTCTTCCGCGCGTTCTGTGAACACGTCAGCGCCTGTGTCGGTAGCATCCCATTCATGTGGCAACATCGCATCCAGCATAGTCCGTACCTCCCGTCCGTGAACCAAGCTGAATGGAGTCACGCGAGTCGTCTCTTGTTTAGCCGTATTGTATGCGAACGTGATATAGGGTAAAATTTCGTCCCAATTCTTATGTTGGACATCCACGTACATCGACAGCATGTCTTCAATCGTCTTGTTGAGGCGCTCTGTTAGTCCATTCGTTTGCGGTTGGTACGCAGTGGTCTTACGGTGAGTCGTTCCACTAAGCATTAGGACGTGGTCTAAAAGAGCTGCCGTAAATGCTGTTCCGCGGTCTGTGATCACGATAGTCGGGGCACCGTTGCGTAGCACAATATTTTCTATGAAAAATCTCGCCACTTCCACTGCGGTGCTCTTTTGGATAGCTTTTGTTTCGGCATACCTGGTTAGGTAGTCTGTTGCGACTATAACCCAGCGATTCCCTGCAGTAGAAGTAGGAAGGGGTCCCAAAATATCCATTCCTATCTGTTCAAACGGTGTACGTGGAACCTGAACTGGTTGCAGCTGACCGGCGGGTCTCTTTGGAGGTGACTTGCGTCGCTGGCAATCGAAGCAAGTGTGAATGTGGTGCTTGACGGCTGTTGTGAGTCGTGGCCAGTAGTATCCCTGCTGTACTCTTGCCAATGGGCGAGTGTAGCCTAAATGGCCAGACGTCGGCTCATTGTGACATGCTTGGAGCCCTTCAGTTCGAAGGGGTGCAAGAATAACGAGCAAATAGGGAGCTCCGATGGATGAAAAGTTTCTTTTGTAGAGGACACCATTGCGTAAGCAAAACGACGATAATGTCCTTGCAAAGACTCTAGGTGCCCTCGAAGAACGTCCGTCCACGTAATTAATCAAATCAAGCGATTCAGGGTCACTTCGTTGTTGTTGGGCAATCGTGGACGCGTCGAGAACACCAAGGAAGGCCATATCGTCGTCGTCATAAAGAGAAGCTGACTGTACTGGTGATCGAGACAGGCAGTCGGCGTCCATATGGCGCTTCCCAGACTTGTGTATGACTGTCATATCAAACTCTTGTAACTTCAGACTCCACCGTGCTAATCGGCCGGTTGGATCTCTTAAATTAGTCAACCAACAGAGGGAATGATGGTCACTTATAAATTTGAAAGGGCGGCCATACAAATACGGGCGAAATTTCATAACTGCCCAGACCACGGCGAGGCATTCTTTCTCAGTTGTTGAATAATTGGCCTCAGTGCGTGTTAGCGTCCTGCTTGCGTAGGCGATCAC